CAAATTTCTACCACACTAGTGGGTTGCACCCTTTTTTATTTTTAATTCTACTCCAATATATGAAATTAGATAATGAATAAAAGCTCTAGTTGAAAGAATGGCAGTGGGCAGGGAGCAAGTGGTGCTTGAAGCTCTGCCCTCTGGCCCTCCTTCTCTCTGCCTCCATCCATCCCCTGAGGCTCCACCTCACCCCTTAGACCTCCACACCACATCCTTGGGAAACCTCTGTGGGCTCCGGTGGACCAGGCCCCTCCTAGATCAGTAGATGTGCAGAAAAATATCTGGGAAGGCCCATGGTAGTATCTTCTCAGGGCCCTAGAAATGCAGACAAAACTATTCCCAAGTCCACACTCCCACTGCAGCATCCTAACTGGCTCCCTGGGAGGGGCACTCAGCTCTGCAAAGTGCTCACTCCTCAAGCATCACTCCAGGCTCTTGACACACCCGTCCTCAGTGACTGCACTGCCTGTCCTCCCTCTGCCCCGCCAGAACCAACCCACATACCTGAAGCTGCCCTAAGGGAGGTGGAATGAGAAGCCAGTGCTATTCCTCTCATCTCTCTGAAGCCACAACCACCTCCCAGGCTGGGTGTCGACACACCAGGAGGGTGAAAGAACATTCTGCCTCACTTCATACCCCCACCCCATCAGGCACCGCCTCACTACCTGCTGATGACAGCCCTAGGCACCCAGCTTCCTGCATTCCAGCTTCCTGCATCCACCAAGAAGCTAATGTGGGCCCTGAATTTCTATAGCTAGTTCACCCCTCTCTTCACCCTCTTCTTCCTACGGCATAAGAGGAGCAACCCACACCCCAAGTTTGGTCTACCTTAGGCTGTCTCGGTCCATTGCTACCCATCCTACCCCAATATCCCCAGGGCCACTGTCTGCTCTTGGATATGGGCGGTAGGAGCTCTGAGGCTGCCTTGCCAGATGGTGAAGCCAGTGCTGAGCCCCTGTAGGCCAAACTCTAGGAGACAGAAGCATTACCAACACCAGTTCTTCTCCCAGCTCCTGCCCCACCCTCTTCCACGCAAAGGGGAAGCCACTACCTGGCTGCTACGGAGGCTGAAATGCTGCTCACAGAGGGCACAGCTTTTGGCCTGGCTAGGTAAGCATGCAAATACATATGCAGATTATATGGAAATCTGGGGCGTGCCCTTGGGTTCCTGGCACCCTGCCATCGCTGCTGCCTGTAGCTCACCCTATTCAGGCACCTGAGTATCTGCTAGAATCGATGGGGCTGGGAGCCGAGAAAGCACTTCAGGAACTGGGGGATCTTCTCTTGACTACTTCTAAGGTCTCCCAGAAAACACCTCCTCCAAGATCATGGAAGAAGGAAAAACCTCCCAGCCTGGGCCTCGTATCTCTGCAGAAAAGCTCTCTGAGCATCTGCCCTCCCCTTTCTTCATCTACCATTAAATCATCCTTCACCAGCCAGAGCAGGGTACCAAGCAAGTCGCAAGGATGGAATTCTAAGGCACAGAGAAGGTCAGGAAGGCTTGAGGTCTGCACCCCTCCATCATAGGCTAACAGCCCATGGGATGCTCTGAGCAGACCTTGGTCCTGTGTCTAGGGGCTCCCAGCCAGCCTGTTTGGGGCCTGCTCCCTGGGCCAAACCCCTATCTGCTTGCCCACCTCCTCTCTGATCCTTATCCTAAGAAAACTAAGCCTCTCCGGCCAGTATCCTGGGATCTGGTCAACTTAAGCACTGCCTTTGGGCCCACTGCTTACTTGCTTTTTGTTTCTAATTGAGCTCCCCATTCTACTGCAGAAATATATTAAAGACAGCTGCCTTTGATGCCCAGAAAAATGAAGCATCGGAAAGCCTTGCCGGGCATCGTGGCAATGCCAATCTCCTTCATGTTATTCTAGCAACCAGGGCCTCTCTGCCACTCACCCCCTCCTCCGTATTCACTGGCCCTTCGCCTGCCTCCCCTAAGTTGTGTTTGCCATTTCAAGATTTTAAATACACATTTCCCCCTCACCCTCCCTCTTTTAAATTAGACACTGAACAGAATGTGGGAGATTTTCTTAATGGCCTGACGAAGGCTTTTAATTTGGTCTTCTCAAGAGAGAAGAACCATGAGTCCCCATTGGAGAAGTTGGGGTGGGAAATGAAAAAATCAATGCAATCCATTATTTTGGCTTTTAGAAAACAGGAATTTTAGTGCCGGGGAAGCTTGTTCTTTTACACAGTAAAAATGCAAATGCAGGCAACACAGATGCTGGCACGCTGGATGGAACAACGGAGAGCCTCACCGGGGTTCATCCGGCTGCCTAAACCTGCATTTGTTTTGGCAATAATAAGGCAGTTATTGGAGACTCGATAACTGATGATTAAAACACCTTCCCAGTTTAGTTCTGGGGCATCAGTCTGAGCTCAGGCTTCATAAAAAAAAATAAAGGTATTTTGAGAGGAATGGAAATAACAGAAGCTTAAAACACATTCAATAACTGCTTAATTCCATCCAGAGGATGCTCCATCTCATCCTGTTTTCTTCTCACTCTGTCCCTGCCTCCTCCCGCTCCTCACAGATGGACGTACAAATTATTGCAAGAGGATATTGTTTTCTGTAACAGGCTCGAACATCCACATTTACATTTTCCTTGGTGCCGCGGGGGTGACTGGCAACGGGAGAGAAAATACACCAAACCCCATCCTTCTTTCTGTCTCCGCATCACGTCTTCCCCAAGCCGCCTCTGCCACCCCCTACCATGCCACCCCAAGCAGAACAGGCCCTGGGGACCAGCCTGGCACCTAAGACCCAATTAAAGCACTAAGGAAAAGAAAGGCCTGTCTGGCGAGGCGCCCTGGCGCCCAACAGACGCTGGAGCCTCTGAATCGCAGGGGCACCAGGCTCTGCAGACCCAAAGGCCACCAAGGGACCGCCACACCTGGCACCTCCAGCCCGCCCACAGGCCCAAGGCCACTGGCAACTTCCTTCTCCAGTTGGACAGGATTTTGCCCCTTGGCTGTCCTGTTGCCTTCTGGGGCTTTCTCCACCCCCACCCCCATCTGCTCCTGCCCTATCAAATAGCTCGGCTTCATTTATTAATGCCAGGCTCCTGGAGGGGGGAGGGGAGCGTCCTTCAGGTATTTGCTGAGGGGCCTCCTGCACTCCCGGGAAATGGGCTGTCCTGGAAGAGGTCTTCAGGGAGCGTTGTGGGGGCAGGGGGTGGGGGTGGGGGTGCCGGGGGGACTGGGGACAAAGCCGGGCTAGAGTGTGGCAGTGGCTCCTGCCTGTGCTTTCTCGCCTGACAAATTGGGAAAGGGGATGGGGGTTGGAGAGAGAGCTATCAAGAGAGAAAGCCGCTCCTCACCTTATGTATTTTTAATATTAATGTAATTAAAGCTGCGAGCCGAGCCAGCCTGCGGGGGCGGAGGGAGGCAGAAAGAACCTGGGGAGAGGGAGACTGGGGTTCAGGGGTGGGGCTTGAACAGGAGGCAGGCTCTGCTCTGCTAAGGTGGGATGAAGGAGTGCGACGCGGGGGGCAAGGGGTTAAACAGCAGAGACCAGCCTTGGTGTGTTATGGGGGGGGGATCCCACTGAGCCTGAGAAACTCAGCTACTTTGTCCACGATTTTTGAGGCCACCCCTTCCTTGTCCCAGTAAACGCCAGGAGTATCTTACCCTTGAGTCTGGTTTTGACCTGGCGTTATCTACAACTAAGGGTTATCCTCCTTTCCCCAACCTAAGGTGTATCGCAGTGGGCTCTCGCAGGTTGCAGACTCCAGACCCCTGGAGCACCGGCAGCGCAGGGCTGGACCCCTCCCCGGGCGCCAACACTCCGCTGGGGCGTCCTTCCTCATCGCCTGGGGGTCAAGAGTTGCCACCTGGCCAGGGCAACAGCGGGGCAAAGGGAGAGAGAAGCCGCCCGGGGCGCGAAGGAGAAAAGTTAGAGGGCTGAACAGGTAACGCTGAGCTTGTTGGAGCGTGTGTGCTCCACCGCGCAAGGTCGCGGAGTTCGGCCGTCTCATCTCCCGCCATCTGCTAGCCCGGGGGCACGTCCTCTGAGATAGCCTGGAAGCCCGACTACCTGCGACTGCCTGATCCTGACTCGGTGCCCAGGTGGCTTCGGTCGGAAATGTCTGCCCTCTTCCAACCTCCCAGTCCCGGCTACCTCGCAGATCAGGTACGCAGCGCCCCAGCCGCAGGTCTGGACACGCCGGACACCTGGACCCACCCCTAGCAACCCCCTCTCTCCGGGAAGAGGGACACGCCCCCCAGCCTGAAGTCTTGTCCCCAGGTCCAACGGGCCAGGAGCGGAAGCTGAGAATATCGCACCTTGGGGCGCGCTGCCCGAGGTGGCCGCGGTGGCGCAGCGAAGCCGAAGCGGTAGCCGGGGCTAGCGCCCGGGCAGAGGGGTAGGAAGGGGTTGGTGCAAGGGTGACCTCTGGGTTTGGAGAACAAACTTGCTATCTGAGGGACCTCCAGCTCTCGGGACCCCCACTGTCCCCACCCTGCCTCCAGCCAATGCTCGGATAAGCGCCATGCGGTGCGCCAACATTCGTGCCAGGGCTGGGGTCAGCAGCGGGCGAGGGGCGCACGGACACAGTAGAGGAGTCAGCCGCCGAGTCCGAGGCCCGAACACGCGAGGACTCCCAGGTCAAGAGTCACGGCCTGAGGACCCCTCGACTCGGAGGGCACTCCGGGGTCCCAGCGCCACCAAGCCGCAGGAAGCGGGCAAGAGGCTGGGGGAGGGGTCCAGGGCAGAACTGCAGCCGGCGGGGAGCAGGGAGATGAGGGGCTCCTTCGCCACCACCCCTACGGGCGCGCCCCAAAACGGCAGACACGGGTGGCTGGCGGAGCGGTCGGGGGCTGACTCTCACTCGGCCCTTGTCAAGGTGCCTGCCCCGCCCAGCTAAGCCCCACTCGGGGCCGTGAACCCAGGTCGGTCTCCCCAGGCACCTGGATCCCGCCGGGCACCCCGCCTCGCCGCCAGCCGCGCCACCCCGGCCCCGCCGCCTCCGCCGCTCCGCCGCCCGCGCAGGTCTCACCTTTGTGTAAAGAGTCCAGGAGCAGGAGGAAAGTTACCAGCCACATGCCATAAAGAGGCCCTATTCTCCGGGGAGGTGGTCCTGTGGCCGGCCGTGCGGCAGCGCCTCTCCCCCGCTCAGCGCGCTCCCAGCCGCCCGCACTCCGCGCCCCGCTTTCTCTGCTCCTCAGCCCAGCGCTCGGCTGCGGCGGCGGCTCCTCCCTCCTCGGCTCCCCGGCTCCTGTCATCTGCGGGGCTGGGCTAGGCGGCCGCTCTCCCCGCCCCCCCGCAGCACCCCGGGTGGTGAGGGCCGCGTGAGCCCTGAGCCCAGACGGACCCCAACCCCACGAACCCAGGGACAGGGGCGGGGGCCCGGGCCAGACGGCACCGACCCGGCTCCGCTGTCTGAGAGGCAAGGGGTCCCTGTCACCCACCGGCTTGGAGCCTGTGGTCGCACACAGGCATGTATCATTCATGTGCCAAGAGCCTGCCATGCTTCGGCCAAGGACGCCCGATTTCTACCGGCCCAGTCACCTGGGACACAAGCTTCCTGCCTCTTTTGGACTCAGCTTACCCCCCTGGGAGCAGCACGGACGCTCTGGGTAGAATCGCAGGCTCTCCAGTGCTATCTGGTGCTACTCCCCACTCTAAAGTTCGTAGCTGCCCTTCCAACCCCTCCTGACTTCCGCAAGCCTGCCCTCCGGAGAGCCACAGCTGACTCCAGCCACCCCGGCACTCTTCGATTTTTCCTCAGCGCTTGGCACATTGTGACTATGTAAACAATTATTTGCAATGAACCGTTTAATGTCTACCTGTGTATCTTCCTCCTTTATCTTCACCTTCCCACCCCTATCGTTTTCTTGCCTGGCAGAAATTGGCTTATTCCTTATACTCATCCTTATGAAGTTGACATAGAATAGGACTGGTGTGACCGCATCTTCTCAGTGACCAAATGAATGTTGAACATCTGCTATGTCAGCCACGGGCTCAGGCACTGGGGGCGCAGGCATGGCTGAGCCAGGTCTGCAGTAAAAGGTCCATACAGTTGGCAAGCCCTCCTTTTGTCTTAATTTCAAAATAAGGGGTCACAGAACCCATGAAGGGATCCAGGTACCTCCGAGAATGGCCTATGAGTCAGGACTGGACCTCCCTTTGTAGAGTCAGGGAAGCTGCTTCGAATATGCCCTGGCAACTTGGCTGTACCTGGACACATTCTAAGGTGTGGCGTATGAGGGCTGGAGGGAGAGAAGGGGGCCACCAGCTAGCTGCATTTGCCAGAGGAAGAAAATTTGCTTCTCCGAAATGTGTGGCCTAAGTTCACGCAGGAGAATTGGGACTCCTCACTCCCAGGTTTTGTCAAAATATCCCTAGAAATTTTAACTAAATTTTGAAAAGTGTGTGTTTTTATATGTTAAAATATACACAACATAAAATTTACCATTTAAACCACTTGAAGTGTATTATTCTGTGGCATTAAATACATTCACGATGTGCAACCATCACCACGTACCATTTCCAAAATTTTTCCTCATCCCAAACAGAACCCTGCACCCATTAAATAATAACTCCTCCTTCCTGGAAACCACCCCAGTTCCTGGCAACCACCATGCCACTTTCCATCTCTATGAAGTTGCTTATTCTAGGTACCTCATAAGTGGAATCACAAAGTATGTATCCTTTCCTTTTATGCTTGGCTTATTTCACTCAGCATAATGTTTTCAAGTTTCATCCTTTAGACAGGTGAGAAAATTGGGGCTTAGCTTGTTCAAGGCCACCAAGTTTGTATCAGAAGCAAGACTAGAACCCAGGTCTCCTGACTCCAGAGCAGAGCTTGCTCTGCAAGCTGCTGCTTCCCACGGCAGCTCAGCTCCGTCATGTGAAATCACCACCCTGAAACAATTTGCAGGAGGGGTTTTGTCAACTGGAAACACAGGCATAGAATAGAGATGGGGGGACAGACTGCAAGGGGTGTTTGAGATGATGCAGACCAATCTTTTGCTTTACAGATGAGGAAACTGAGGCCCAGAGTGGGGAAGCCATAAGCCTGCCCCAGGTCACGCAAGGAGCAACAGAGCCCAAACGCTTCCAGTCTTCTGTCTTAGCTCCCATCTCTCACTGCCTCCAGGCCCCTGGCTCATTCTTCTACCATGCCCCTTCCCTTCTAAAGGGGACGATCATTGAGAGGAATCCAGTTATTTAAAACTAAGCCTATTGACCCAGAGCACCTGGTCAGGCCAGGCCTAAAATATACCGCTGGGGCAGACAGGATGAAAGGGGCTGCTGTCTGCTGGGAGGAGATCTGAGTGGGCCTGGGGGTATCAGCACAGCTGCTCCGTGCCCCACGTGCTGGAAGTTGAGGAGGACCCTCCTTTTTGCATCTACCCCAAGTACCCCCTGCAACCTGAGTGTAGGAGCTTTTATGCTAGTTACACTCGGGGGCCTTTAAAGAACCACAGCCTATGTGTCATCTGATGGGCCAGGTCATTCATTGTGCTGGTGACTGCAGTCTGGCTGTCCCCAGAGAAGACATCTACGTGGAAATAGAGAGATGGTCAGGTGGGGAGACTGCACCTGGGGCCCCTATCTGGCAAAAGGAAGCTTTCTAATGTCATGATTAGGAGCCTGGTTTTGGAAACCGCAAGAGATGAGTTCTCAGCCCAGCTCTGCCGCTTACTAGCTGTGTGCCTTGGGAAATTTATGTGTGTCAAGCTGCAGTTTCCTTACCGGTGGAATGGAGACATTCCCAATCTCTTCCTGGGAAAGTCGTAGTGAGGATTAAATAAGACAAGCCCCATGGCTGGCACCTAGTGAGCGCAGGGGACTATCATGAATGGGAGGGGCTTTGCTCACAAGGACCTTGACCTGTGGGAGCTGGGAGGAGGGGACAGCTCCACTGGGGAAAGTTGGGATGATATTGTGCCTTCCATGATGTGACAAGGCCAGAGCCAAGGAGCTAGGAATCCAGGCAAGAGGCTGCAGAAACACGGAAGGTACACGTTGAGGCTGGGAGAGCCTGGAGAGACGGTTAACAAAAGAAGGACCAGAAAAACAGGCAGGTCAGCCTGTATGCTTTTTGTGTTTCCCATTGATTTTATTCCTCCTTAGTAGCTAGGAAAATATCTTTGAAAATGACAGGTTGGTTCAGATGTATTCAGAAGTCTTCTCTTCAATAGGAGTTGTATTAGGGGTGGGTGAGCCGGCACGCCAGGAAATCCCAAGGGAAAAATGAAACTCTAGGGAAGAGAGTCAGGTGGCATGTTCCACCCCATGGCTACTTTAAACCCTGACAGCCCCCTCTCCAGCTGACATTTTGGAGGGGATAAGTTTTATTTTTATAGAAGGAACTGTTCCCAAAATTAGATGGAAATCTTCACACACACACACAAATATATGCACGCCAGAGTGAGAACAAACACATTTGCCCAGGCAAACATTCATGTGTGCAGGTAAACATAAACACTTAATGACAGGCACAGCTGTGCTTAAATGCGATCTGAACACAATGCAGAAACTCTGCATCGGCACCTATGCATATGCTCCATTTTTTTTAAGCCTCAAATCTGTGGGATTCATTTCTAGTAGGGACACCCTATCCATTTAAAACCAGTGATTAGTTTCAATATTTTCTTGCATTTAGAATGCTGAGTGATGATCTGTCTATATTTTTGCTTTTGTGCTTTTGTTTTTGTTTTTTTTTTTTAACCAATGCCAGTTGAAGCAGCTCTGCGAAGTCACTGGGAGGTGGGCCCTCTCCAATTCAGGTTAATCATGGATATTTAGGGGTATTATTTTGCCATGTTATATTAAGACTAGAGGCTTCATGAGAAACAACAGATGTTTTTATTGTTTAACTCAAACAATAAGCTTATATATTTTGGATACTTTTCTTCAAAAACAAAGGCTTATAATTATTTTAACAAAAGCTTCATATGCCCTCTGGAATTCTTTGACAACTTGAGTATAAATAGAGTTTTCATAAAAGGAATCAATACTGAACCAGGTTGGTGTGAAAAACTTAACTTTTGATATTCTACAGCTAATTCAAGATTGAGCTTCTTAGTACTTATGTATCGATTGGGGGAGGAAAAAAAAAAGATCTCCCTCCTTCCTTCCCCCAGGTTTACAATTGATTTTAATATTACAGAAAGGGTCCTCATCTACAAATTGAAATCCTAGGTTCTTGGTTCATTTCTGTCTCCATAGCCGGCTGTGTGACCTGTGACAAGTCACCTTGCCTTTCTGGACTTCAGTTTCTTCACCAGTGAGGTGAAAGAGTTGGGCTAGGATGATCACCAAGATCCCTTCCTAAGACCAAAGCAAGGTAAATGCAAACAAATACACACATGACCCCAACCCATCCCACATAGGTGTATATGTGCATATCCAAGAATGTATACAGGCAAAGAAACAGAAGTTTTTATACACAGATATTCAGAAACTAATAGACACAAAAAAACTTATACAAAATAAACAGTTTTGATTTCAAATATATACACATATATCTAAAATACCTCCATCTTCTTGAGATAGGATGAATTGTTACAATTCATAGACTATGATGCCTATATAGAAAAAATAGCATGTGTCATTAAACTACCCAGGTGCTCCTTAAACCAAAATTCTGTCTGCTGGGCTCAGAATATGTCTAGGTATACTTGCCACTTACTCTCTCATCATTTTGGATTATCATATTATGGCTCTAAGCTCATTGGAGCAAAGGGTTTAAAGCCCTGGGGTTCCGACCGTTCAGATGCAGTCTCTGGGGTCTCTGTGCCCTTGTTCACGCTGCTGTCTCAGCAGTGACCCCAGGACGGTTGGTCGGGGCTGTGGAAGCCCCCAGCAAAGCAGAAGTCTCCTGAATAACTGTGGCCTCTCTCTTGCTATTTTTTTTCAGCTCACAGCTCTGAAATTGATTGAGAAGCCAACCCAGAGAGGTTCCATGAAGTCCGGATTCTACGGAGCTAAAGCTCATTGTCACATTTCTCTCTGGGGAGTGGTGGGGTGGAAGGTATGGAAACTATGAGACAGAAAAGAAAAAAAGGAAAGTGCAATGAGTGGAGCTAAATTTGCTGGCTTCCCAAGTCTTCCTGCATTCTTTTGACTCATGGGTCACTCACAAATGTGCTTCTCAAATTTATGGAAGTGTTTTCTACACTGGAAAACCTTCACCTTTCTCAAGTATCCAGTGCCCCCTTTTTCACTTGTTTGAGGCTTCCCATTCAGCAGGGCCTGGTCAGACACCCCCAGTTATCCCTGGCCAGGCCTCCTCTGGGCTCCCCCTGCCTCAGACATCTACTTGGCTCATGGGTCTTAGCCCTTTGTCTTGAATTGTGGCTATTTATGCACGTGTCTGACTTTTCTCCTCTTCTAGTTACTGGGCTCCGACCCTTTCAATTTGTACCTACAACCCCTAGCCTGGTGCCTCCTGGCACTAGGGGAGCACTCAGTAAATGCTGATTTAATGACCAGACGGGCTCATTCTCACAAGGTAGCACATACCTGATTACAGCCTCACGTGCCATGCCTTCCAGAGAGATGTCATTTAACTGGGATCAAAGCCTTAAGCTTGGAAGGTCTCATATTAGAGTTTCTGGTCTCTAAGGGCAAGCTTTTGGCAGAACATTAGACCCTGAAGGAGTGCTGACCCCTAAAACCAAAGAAGTTTAAGGTGTTCCTGCACAACCCACGTCACTGTGATCTTCAGGGTCATCATCATGACCCTGTAGGCAGCATTTTTAGGTTCCAGAAGCTTTACGTCTTCGTCCATTTCTGATTCTCACCAAAAAAAATATCTATTCTCACCAAAAAAAATTCTAACATATCTGGTTACATATGTTAGAATTGTTTTGATCATTATATGGATGAAAAGACTGAAAGTCAGAGGGGTCCCAGAGGCACATTGGGGATGCTTATACCATGATGCTTACACAGCTCAAGCTTCAGTGTCCTTTAGGGCCCTAGTAATGTGTTAACATGGTCAGATATTGAAACATTTGTGCCTGGGCTCGGTGGCTCATGCCTGTAATCCCAGCACTTTGGGAGGCTGAGGTGGGCAGATCACCTGAGGTCAGGAGTTCAAGACCAGCCTGGCCAAAATGGGGAAACCCTGTCTCTACTAAAAATACAAAAATTAGCCAGGTGTGGTGGTGGGCACCTGCAGTCCCAGATACTTAGGAGACTGTGGCAGAAGAATCACTTGAACCCAGGAGGTGGAGGTTACAGTGAGCCAAGATGGAGCCGCTGTATTCCAGCCTGGGTGACCAAGTGAGACTCTGTCTCAAAAAAAAAAAAAAAAAAAAAAAACTGTAGAATAATATAGTTGACCTACAGCTGTCAATCACAGCTGCTACCCTTTTCTGCTCTGGCTTCTCAGTGAGTCTGGTGAACATCTTGGGCGGTTCTGACTCTGGCTTGGGATTGGTGGAATGTATTGATGTGGTTCACGCGCCGTGAGTGTACTCCCAGGGTAGGGAGTGGCTTGCAGGAATATTCCTACCACCAACTGGGCCCACTCACCACGCTTTGCAACATGAAGCTGCAGAGCCAGAAGTTGTGCCTCAGCATAACTGTGGCCTCAGATGCCTGCACCAGAGATGTGTGTAGCACAGGAGAAACAAGGTTTGAAATGCATGGAGCCAGAAGCCAGTCTGTGTAAAGCTGTGAGCAGAAGTAATGTAAAAAAAATTTTTTTTAATTTAGAAAGCATTTTTGAGTTGTGTCAGGCATTTAGTTAATACAAATATTATGTTATCTGTCCGGATTTCATGATGGCATTTGTCAGTTTTTTCAAGATTTGCAACTTGTTGCAATTTCTTTTTATCATTCTAAATTAATAATCATATCTGTACCTAATTTTGTAATCATAATTGTGTATTGTTTACCTTAGAGAGGTTCTCCTCAATGGTCTAAGCTTCCAGCCCTGCAAAACCCGAATCCATTGCGGGAACTTCCCTTGGGTCACACTGCGGCTGGGGACCAGGTTCTCTGGATTCTGACCAGGGCTCCCCCCGTTGCCTCAGAGGTCTTGAGTCTGTATGTCAACCACGTATTTATTTGTATAGTGCTGTTCACACAGAAGGTACTTAAAAGTGCCAGCTCCCTTGAAGAGACTTTTCTCCCCAGAAAAGAGAAAGTCAAGGCCCAGGCCCATGGGGGTGACCTTGACTTAGATGATGAAAGTTGAACTTATATTTGAAAGTCCTCTTCCTAGAAAGTCTGGCCATTTCACCATGGGCTGGACTTGCCAGTGCATGCGCTGGAGGATCTCAGGATGGGAGACAATCCACTGTTGCCCTAATGCCTTCCACGGCCGCTCTGCATGGCAGCGTACCTACTGTCGCCGTGACTGGCCACTATGTGGAGAGCCAAGACCCTCCTCAAAGTCCAGGAGTCGCTACGAAATGCCAGTAAGCCCTCCAGCCACTCTGAGCAGGAGAAATTCCACCTGCCAGGCATGGTGGTGCATGCCAGTCATCCCAGCTACTTGGGAGGCTGAGGTGGGAGGATTGCCTAAGCCTGGGAGGTCAAGGCTGCAGTGAGCCGTGATTGCATCACTATACTCCAGACTGGGAGACAGAGTCTGTCTCAAAAAAGAAAAGAAATGTCTCTCAAAACAGAATAGACTCATGAACCCGGATGAGGTGTTAGCAGCTCCAGTCCAGGCACCTGACCTTCTCTTACTGTTGCGCAGCGTTTGTCGACTTTCCTGGACTGGCATGCCCATCAGTTTGGGCCAGTTTCCCATGAACTTCTACTGAACTGGCCTCCTCGGCCTATAATCCTGATGTGGATTATTTGAGAGAAAATACAATCCCACTCATCATTTGGTGAATGTTGGGAAATGAGATGTTGCCTGGGTCAAATGGCACTTACAGGACGGATGGCTCAGAATGTCTTCTAAGGTCCTAGCCCAGCCCAGTGAGGGCGGCAGAGCTTAGCTAAGAATACAGCAATGAGGTTCCCATTTCAGGCCATGATGACATTGAAACCTAGCATCTTTACCAAACTTGACTTTGTTTTTAATAAACCTGACTGAAAATGCAAAAAGATCTAATATAACATTTCACTAGTGTTTCATGAGAAGGTAATAAGTAAGGTGCAAAAACTGATTTATGGTCAAATAGGTTTGGAAAACACTGGAATAATCAAAGGTAAATAGGTTTTTGTGGGGGTTGCTTTTGCTTTTGTTTTTTACTGCAGGCTTTAACATGCTGTTGGGCATCATCAATCTCCAAGTGGTACAGCATGAGGTTTTTTGGGGATCCATTTCCCACCTCTCCCAGTTAAAAACTCTGTTCTTTCACTGTTTCTGGCCCCCACTTGGCCTGGAGGAAGTTTATTTTGTTGTTTTATTCATTCCTTTGGCAAGTCTGTACCCAGCCCCCATGCAAGGAACTCCCGGATCCCTGAAAAGTCTAGCACAGAGTTCCTGCCCTCAGGAAGCTTGCACTCCAGTGAGGAAGATGTTTAAAGAGCAACACAGGGAGACCTACATGTTCAGAGTCAGCAGGTTAGAGTGTGAAGGGACCTGGGGAGCATCTCCTGCAAGTGCCTTGTCCCATCCAGAAGGAAACAATGGCCAGCAGGTGAAGGGCATCCCAGGCCACATGGCAAAGTCAGGGCTTAGGTCCAGGGCTCCTGACCTCCTGGCCTGCACTCAGCTAAGTGCTGTTTACCTCCCTCCCAGTCCTTGTTGTCTTCAGTCTCTCACCCACCTTGCTCACCACTCCATCCTCACCACCTAAGGCAGGTCTTTGATGACTGTTGAATGAAGCTATGATGATGTGGCTGGGTTTGATGACCTTTACAGTCTCACCTAGGGCAGAGGTTCGATGCATCTGTGAAGAGAGCTGCTTAAACTCAGAGAAAGGAGTGGTCAGTAAAAACCAAGTGGTTGTGAGTTGGGCATGAGCAATGGGAAGGATATGCAGAGAGGCAGGGAGAAGGCCTCCCTACAGGGTCTAAGGAAAGCCTGACTCTGGTGTGTGTCTACCCATCTGAGACACGCCCGGCACTCGGCAGTTCAGGGCTGTGTCCTCAAAGACTCCTCGGTCTGAACACTGAGCTGGGCTGAGGAATTGTTTGTCTGCATCAGCTAAAGTAGCTTCTACTTTTGGCAAATTATAACCAGAGCCCTGGACTCCTACTAATAACAATGATTATAATTCAGAGCTTGCTGTGGGGCCAGCACTGTGCTAATTACTCCAGATGCAGAATCTCAAAACAACGCTATAAGACTGGTATGATTATTACCATCCCCATTTTAAAGGCAATGAAACTGAGGCACAGAGGAATTAACTAACTTATCCAATTCATACCACATCAGATGCTCAAGGCAGTCTAATTTTGAGTCATCATTCTTTGTATTGACTTTGGTGGTGGTAGTGTCTCTGCTGTTACATTTTTTAGAAAGTTTGAACATGGAGAATCTCAAACATATACAAAAGTAGGGAGAATAGTATAACTAATCGCTATGCCCTTATTTCCCAGATGATACAATAGTTGACTTGCAGCCAGTTTTGATTCATCCGTGCCCCCTGCTCCCATCACCATGAATTTTTCTGAAGCAAATTTCATGTGTTATGTAATTTCATCCATTGATCAGTCTGTGTGCATCTCTCAAGGATGAGGCCAGATTCTCGTTCTCAATCACAATACGTTTCACCTCCTGACTGAATGTTTCCTTGGCAAGGTGCAGCCACTGCCCCCAAGCCATGCATGGGATTTCAGGCTAGCCACGGCCCCACACAGTGGGCACGGAGGCAACAGGCTCAGGGGGCAGCCTGTGCCCAGCTCCTTACCACACAGCCTGGCCAAATGGCATCTCTCTGCCTCCTCAGAGTGAATTTGGAGCGCCGAAGCCCCGACCATCCATCTGGTTGTTCTGCAGATGGGGAACAATTGGATGTGGTGGGCTGCCTGTTGGGGCTGTTGACACAGGGACAACCTGACCTGTCCTGGCTTCAACCCTGACCTTGCCCCTAATCCTAGTGCCTACTTCAGGATGATTTGGGGGGTGGGGACTTGTCCTTCTCCCAGGTGGAGGACTCACCACTCCATCCAGCCTAAGAGCAAGAAGTAGGGATGAGATGGAGCCAAGAACCTGGAGTGAGAGATTCACTGCGCCTCTCATGAGCTGAGAGGACCAAGTCTCACCTTTTTGATCTGTAGAAGTGGGACTAGAACACTGACCTGCAGCGTGGCTGCGAATGTCTAAGGAGATGGGTAAGCTTCCTCCGCATAGCTGTTTAGCCGCAGGAGGACATAGTACCTGCTATGGCCAGCAGGTGTCGCTCAAAAACTGAGTATGAGAAACCTTTGGGCCGGATGGGGGCTCCTCCATGGAGATTATCTTTCAATATGAGATATAGTTGGACTTGGAAGAAGTGGAAGAAAATTCAGCCTGAAGGGTTTCTCCTTTGAAAAGTCAGTTTGATTCTGGCTTTCACCGGGGTTAAAAAGTGGAGCTTTGCAGTTTTCTTTTTTTTGACAGAGTCTCACTCTGGTGCCCAGGCTGGAGTGCAAAGGTGTAGTGTCGGCTCACTGCAACCTCTGTCTCTGGGTCCAAGCTGTTCTCCCACCTCTGCCGCCCAAGTAGCTGGGACTACAGGCTCCTGCCACCATGCCCTGCTAATTTTTGCATTAGTAAAGAAGGCATTTTTACTACATCTGCCAGGCTGGCCTCAAACTCCTGACCTTGTGATCTGTCTGCCTCAGCCTCCCAAAGTGCTGGCATTACAGGTGTGAGCCACCATGCCTGGCCTGCAGTTTTCAAAGTATGCTTACATGAAGATTCCACAGCAAAACAGGCATCAATATCCCCATTTTACAGATGAGGAAATCGAGGCTTCAGAAAGCAAATGACTTGCTGAAAATTATGCTGCCACTAAATGACAGAGCCGTTAAGTGACAGAATATGAAATTAGAAGGCCTTCTGACTCCATATTCTGGGCACTCTGCTGACACATTTCTATGGGTCAAACCTTTAAGAAGAGACCTGAGACCGAGGCTGTCCCTGCCCCCTCTGGAAAAGTTAATAGGTGCATGCCTGAAGCCCCTGGCAGGGGGCATGCTATCCGCTGAGAGCATTTGCCATCTCTGGGTCTCAGTGGCTCCCAAACCACACAGCCACACATGCACACAGGCACAGGTGAGGAGAAGGGAGAGAGAGATCCCACGCTACAGAATCTGCGATCTGTATTTTCTGTTTCCCAGTATTTGGATGTAAGAAGCTTAGCATAGGTCTTGGGGCTGGCTTTTGGGAAATCCTGGACTAGAAGATAAACTAGAAGGTTTATGTTCTGTAGTTTCGTAAACACTGTTCACTTAAGCTTGTCAAAAACACTAATACAGTGTCTGGCACACACTTGATCGTCAACAAAAGTTTGCTGAATAATAAATGACTGAAACACACGCAATCGCCCAACCCAGCAGAAGCCTTGGTGAGCTCTGCCTCGCCCCTCACCCATTCTACACGTCCGTAGTACTTTGTGGCGAACGTAGCTCGTTTACACACATGATCCCGTTCAATCTCTTTAATGAGTTGGGTATCACAAGTCCCATCTCACAGATGAGAAAACTGAGGCTCCAAGACACTGAAGAGCTTGCCCAGGGTTGCCCAGCTGGTCAGTGACCCAGCCAACCTCACACCCACGCCTGTCTAGCCTGCTCCAGCAGCTCTGCCACTGTCCCTCCCCGCTTCATATCATTTCCATGACAAAGCCTGTGAGGAGGAAAAATCCATTCAGAAAGACGAGTCTTCAGATCTGTTATGGATGTCTCAGAGTCGGGACAGGCGACCTCAGGAGTTTGCCCTGAGACCCCTGGTTTAGGAGAATTCTTGCCTCATTTGGAGAAGAGCTCAGTGCCGAGCTCCAGGGTGGGGTGGGTCCTGGGAGGTCAGCTGCCGCGTTTGCACTAGTGGTAAGTGCAGTGTGGGAAGGGTGGGAGCTGTGGGAAGTGGGGAGCCCTCCTCCCCGCTGTGCCTGGCTCCTTGGGCGTGGCTCTGACAGCTGGAGAGGACATCTCGCCTCCCTGGTCCACTGCTGGGTAAGTCTCTACTGTCCTCCGCGGAAGGAACCAGGCCTCCGCACAGGGAACCTGGTGTCTGCCTCCCCCTAGTGCCACAGGACGGGATGGTGGCACCACCGGCTGCTGTGCAGTCCACATAGACGGCGGCCACTCAAATTCTCCACTACGCAGGCCCTGCGCTTCACCCCTGTCGTGCCTCGAGGTTGACGCCGGAGTCTGGGCTCACTCCCTGCCCCAGCCTGTGTCCTTGCCAGCCTCTAGGAAATGCTGGAGGGGATGAATGGTGTCCTCCAAAACGGACGCCTCGTTCTCAGCTGAGGAGGCCGAACCACTGTGCAGGGTCCAGATGCCAGGTCCACCCACTCACCCTCCTGGGTTGCTCTGCTCCTCCCCAGTTCCAGCACAACTAGCAACTCACAACACACACACACACGTTGACATACACACACACACACACACTCACATACACACACATTCACACATACATTCACACACATTCTCACATACTCATTCACATACACACACACATTCACACACTCACATTCACGGTCACACTCACACATTCCCGCTCACACACAATCATATACACATTCACTCACACACATTCTGCAACACACATTGCACACACACAATCACACAAGTCACACATTCACATTCACACATACTCATATACACATGTCCACACAATCTCACACACTCACACACACACACAATTTCAAACACTCATGTACACACTAACACACTCACGTTCACATACACACACATTCACACACACTCACATGCATTCACATTCACATGTGCACACACAATCTCGCACACATGCACACACAATCTCACTCATTCACTCCTCCAGTCAACCAGTCACGTGTGCACTCAATAACCATGTATTAAAGGTCCACTAAGCACCCAAAGGGAGGCGAGGCACTGGCGGTGAAGCCCGGGGTCTCAGGCAAACTCCTGAGGTCGCCTCTCCCAACTCTGAGGCATCCCCAACAGATCTGGAAGACCGGTCTCTCTGGATGGATTTTTCCTCCTCACAGGTTTTGCCTTGGAAATGATATGAAGCGGGGAGGGACAGTGGCAGAGCTGCTGGAGCAGGCTAGACAGGCGTGGGTGTGAGGTTGGCTGGGTCACTGACCAGCTGGGCAACCCTGGGCAAGCTCTTCAGTGTCTTGGAGCCTCAGTTTTCTCATCTGTGAGATGGGGCTTGTGATACCCAACTCATTAAAGAGATTGAACGGGATCATGTGTGTAAACGAGCTACGTTCGCCACAAAGTACTACGGACGTGTAGAATGGGTGAGGGGCGAGGCAGAGCTCACCAAGGCTTCTGCTGGGTTGGGCGATTGCGTGTGTTTCAGTCATTTATTATTCAGCAAACTTTTGTTGACGATCAAGTGTGTGCCAGACACTGTGTTAGTGTTTTTGACAAGCTTAAGTGAACAGTGTTTACGAAACTACAGAACATAAACCTTCTAGTTTATCTTCTAGTCCAGGGTTTCCCAAATGCCAGCCTCAAGCAGGATCTGTGGGTGAACTTTCAGATGCAATCCCTGCCTTCATGTAGCTTGTAAGCAGTGGGGCCTCAGATGTGAAGGCAAGCTCAGAATTCAGGGTGATTCAGGGTCCCCTGGCAGGTGCCCAGGGTGCCAGAGAGGGCAGGTCAGGAGCACTCTTGGAACAATGGAGGCCCAGCCTGGCCCGTCCCACTCCTGCCACCTGGGGCAGCTGTCTACAGGCTCCATGCTACTCCTGGATGATTTTATTAGCTGTGTTGGGAGCATATGGTCCTCGGACATGAGACCTGAAGTAGTATTTACTGCAGGGCAGAGGACACCAGGTTCCCGTGTGGGCTGGGTTTGGCACGCTCGAAGTTACTGATTGATAGACCTTTCAGGAAACAAAGACCGCAAGAGAATTCAACATGCTCCTGGCTCGGGGCCAAGCCAGCCTCATCTCCTTTGCTTTGTCAAGTGTGTCTTTTTGTCTGCCTTCATCACTTGCTGGGCGCCTCTGTGTTCACTCCAGGAGGAGGCAAGTGTGTATTTGCAGGGGCTGTGGGGGTGCAGCCAGTTTTGCTCTAAGAACAGCTATCCAAGGGGCAGGAGGCAGCAGGGGGTCAGCCACAGCTCTCCCCTTACCCATTGCCCTGAAAAGTCACAGCTCCTTGACGTGACGTCCTTGGGACTTTTATCTTGTGACTGTTTTTTCCAAAGCCAAGTCCAGAGACAGACCAGGGCCTTCCCAAGGTCACACAGCAGCCCAAGGGCAGAGCTGGCAGTGAAGCTGATTTTCCACCTTCCGCGGTGTGGTATGCGCTGAGCTGCAGCCAGGGCTTCCGGGGCCACACATTGCTGCCCCAGCTCAGAATGTTCCCCTCCTCTACCCTCCCTGCTGCTCCGCTTAGGGGGGGGGGGGAGGGGGAATTCCTCTCAGTGACACCAAAGAAGCCCTTTCAGGAAGTGACAGTGAGCACTTCCTGAAAACAGAACCAAGTTTAGAGATCTAGTGACAGTAGCAGCCACGGTGACTGGAGGCCTCCTGGGGCTGAGGAACTTTGGGGTGTCACTCAGGGTGACAGCAGGCAGCCCAGCAAACCCAGAGGAGCGGGACAGGCCAGGCTGGGCCTCCACTGTTCCAAGAGTGCTCCTGACCTGCTCTCACCTGCACCCTGTGAAGGGAAGCTCAGAATTCAGGGAGATTCACGGTCCTCTGGCAGGTGCTGTTGGGACGGGGACCACCAATTCCGGTGCCTCGCCCCTCTTGGGGCACCTGCTAGGGGACCCTGAATTCTGACCTTCCCTTCACATCAGAGGTCCCACTGCCTACAAACTGAAAATGAAATCTGCCAAAACAGCGCGTGGGGAGCCGCCACTCCTGAACACAGCTCGTCCCAGCCCCTTCCAGGCAGGAGGTCCACCCACGCCTGGGGGAGACCCTCCCCATGATCTCCTGATGCCACCTTCTTCGCCCCTCCAGTATCTGGTTGAAGCTCTGGGATGGAGGTTCGAAGTTCTAAACAGGATTTCCTCCCAAGTCCTCAGTCACTCAGCGGGAAGCAATGAAGTGTCCACAGCCTGCCAGGCTCCTCTTGCAGCCAGAGCTGGGAGGGACACTGAGTCCGAGCCCCAGGTTTCTTCCAAGGCTGAGACACTCGCGCCCCTCCTTGGCTCTCCCAGTGCAGCCCTGGCTCAGCACTGCCTTCCCAACGCCCAGAACCGAGGCTGCTGCGGCCCCAGCTTTGAGGCCCAGGACAGATCCATCTTCCCAGCCAGTGACTCGCTCTGACAACAGGGCCGAACTGCCGTGGCATTTGCCTCTCGTCTCCACTGGCCAGGTATCTGCCAGGCAGCTTGCAAGGAATGAAGAATGGGCACTTGGCGAGGCACAGATTACCGGCCCCAGAGGCCCCTGCTGAATTGCAGTTCAGAGCTCAGCTGCCTGGGGCCTCAGATCAACAGGGAAGGGACTAATCTCCCCTACAGAAGCCCTGCCGTGCAGAGCAGAGCGAGGTTGGAGTGGGTGAGGCTGGGAGGAGATTCTACACCACCCCTGCCCTGGGCCTGTCTTCGGCACAAACCCCCCGCATGCCCTCCACTCCCACCCCTCTCTACCCAGGGAGACCTCTTCCTTCACTAGAGGCAGCCAGCGCCAGTGGAGACACTCAGTTCTTGGGGGCACCCTCTCCTTCCTCCTGTACCAGAGAGTTCAGAACTGCTGGGGCAGGGTGAAGATTTCTCCTGATGTCCCGAAGCATTTAGAAAAACTGGAGGCCCATGCCAGGGGCACCCTCACCCTGGACGGGAGATCAGCCTGCGGGAGCTAGAGATCAGCCTGCCCAAGGCTCTAGTTCCTTTGATGGAGGAGTCCAGGCCACCCAGCCAGGGAGTGCCTGCCAGAACCTGGCAGAAGCTCTCCTGCCCCCATGCCCACAGGGCTCTTTCTCTGGAGCTGTGCAGAAGCTGGAAAGGTTTGGGCACTGGACCTGTTAGCAAGGGGTAGGGGTGGGACTGGCTGCTGGCTCACAGGCTCATTCTCCTGGCCTTCCCTGGGCTTCCTGCCCAGCTCTTCCTGTTCCTGGGTGCTGTGAGGAAGCCCAGGACTCAGTGGACTCATCAGAGACCCTGCAACCCTGCTGACCAAGGCCCGCAGCTCTGGGCCTGGGCGCTCTGGAAGTGCTCTCCCCAGGGCTGCATGGGGCTGCTGGCGGGACAGAGCTATCTGCCCTCTCCCCAGATGATGACACAGTCCAGTTTCCTTTGGGCCCTCAACTGCTCCTCCTGCCTGCATTACCCGAACCCTCACCTGGCCATGCCCACCTACTAGGCTGTGACTTTCACCTTCTGCTCCACGTGGAGTTCACCTGCGGAGGCGGAACAGCCACTCATGCCCCGCCAGTTGAAGAAGACTCTCTGCAGCTAGGGTTGGGAACAGATACTCAGGCAAAGCCTTTTTCCCCTCTCACCCCACAAACGTCCCTGCTTGACATCTCTGCCTCTCCTCATGGCCTACTGTCCTTGATTTATTCCGACTACGGGGTTAGAGAGGTGCCCGCGTTCCTGGGGCTTTGGGGAAGATGCGTAGATCACGCATGGTCTCTGCCTCTAGGAAGGGATGAGCACTTAAGACCCCACAGCCAAGAATTGCCCCGGAGTAAGGCAAGTGCTGCACCTGGCGGCTGGGGGTTGGGGGTGGGGGGTGGGGGGTGAGGGGTGGGGGGTGAGGGGCGGATGTGAACAAGCAGAATGAGAAGAACTGAGGGTTTTCCTAGGAAATCAGGGCCCCGGGCTGACCATTCAGGAGCCAGGAGCCCCTCCTCCCCGGCAAAGGCCCTTGGAAAGGCTGAGTTGAAAACATGCAATTGGAGGGGATTCGGCGTAAGCCACATGCTCTCTCTTGTGGTCAAAAAGGGAATTGCGCCCTCAGACAGAGGCTGTCGTAGTGGGCGTTGTGTGATTAATTCACCCAATCACTTCCCAGGCTTCGTAGTTTTTGTGACTCAGTGCAGGTCTGTATTGTGGAAAATCCCAAAGTGAAGTGAAAGTTCAGGAACTGGCAGTCCAGGTGACCTTTCTGGAGAGGGAAGGGAAATGTTCACAAGAGCCCTGGCTAGGAAGCAGGTCCCAGGCTTCCGAATGCCACCTTGGGCCATGGGGCTTGTTAAGCCTCAGCCTGCATGGGCCACTCCCCAAGCCTCACATTCAACCGGGCTGGGGGAATCTGGGTACGTGGTGGTTTTGAAAAGCCCTCCAGGTTCAGACCTGATAAAGCCTCACATTTCACAAGGAGGGAGACCTTTGAAGAAGGGTCAGTGAGAGGAAGTGACTCATCCAGAGCAGTTGGAATTTCCCTCTGAGGGTGGCAGGCTGGATGGTCCTCTCTATGGAACATTCTAGAACATTCTAGAAACGTGACCCTTCTCCAGTGCTCTTTCTTGCTTCTCCTAGGGTGGGCCACCGGTCTGGAATACCCTCTCTTCCTGTTTGCCTTGCTGCTACATCCAAGGGGCTTTGGAAGCCCCCCTCCTCCCGAAAGCCCCCGTGGCTGGACCTGCCCCATTTGTGTTCATTTCTCCCACCCTAGAGAGGGAGTTCAAGTGTGTGCCCCTATCTCCTGCGTGGAAAAACTGAATTCCGTTTAAGGTTTGGCCAACAGATTTTCCCTGTCACCAGTGAGTCCCCATTTGGAGCGGGGTATCACAAGGACTTGGTGCTGGGTTGTAAGTCACCAGTCCTTTCCCTGCGTGGCTCCTGTTCTCCTCCCACCTCCGGGCCTTCCCTCTCTCCCCTTGGCTCTCCAAACCCACAGGAGGTCAGCGGGGAGTCCACCCCTGCCCCATGCTCCCCGTCCTTTGGATGTCCGTGTGGTGGGAAGAGCCCTAGAAGGGGAGCCAGAGCCCTGAATTTTGTCTGGCTCTGATGCAGGCTAGCCATGTCACTCCAGACAAGCCATGGCCTTTCTTAGAGCCTCAGTTTCCCCTTCTGTGAATTGAAGATGGTCTGTTTTGCTCTCTAAGGACCCTTCTCTGCTCAAGCCTTCTGTGTAGGCAGGTTGGTGGTTTTCAGGGACTGAGGGCAGTGGATTAAGACAAAGAGCTTAATTCCCAAGTGGAGCGGGGTCCATCCTGTCTCTGGCCCCCAAACACGCCGTGCTCATTTCCTGCTCCGATAGCTTGGTTCTCATGCTGGTTTTCCCCTCCTCTCCCTCAACAGCTTGCAGGCCCAGTTGAGAAAGCCAGACAGTAGGTGGTGCCAGAATCCCACCATCCCTCCAGCTTGAGCGGCCTTTGAGTGAAGGGAGGGAGAGGGAAGGCGGGCTCCTTCCTGAATGCAGAAACTCCCAGAGGCCTCCCTGCATGGCCTCGACCTTGGACTCACAGCAAAGATGGCATTAGGAGTCCGGCACTGGTAGGAGGAGCGACCTGGCAGCATCTCAGGCTGAGACTGCCCCGGTGGGTCCCTGCCTGCATGTTCTGGGGCTGGAGCAAGTTTAACAATGGTCTCACTCTCACTGTCTGTTCCCTGGCCTCAGGCCCTGGGATTAACCAAGTCTCCAAATAGGTGGCCCCAAGAGTGGAAAGACGTGGCCTGAGCTTAGTACCAGGAGGGGGCTGGGAAGAGGGCTGGCTCCTTCAGGACACGTGCTGAGGCCCAGCACCAGGCCCCCCAGACCTAGCCACCCTGGCCCAGGGTGTACATGTGGAAAATGGCAGAGCACACGAATGTGGCCACATACCCGTCTGGGTAGCCTGGGACCTCTCCGAAGCAACTTCTAGGCAGAGTCACCGGGATCCCAACAGCAGCGCCTCATGGGTATCCAACAGGCCCATCGCTTTGACCCTGGGGGCCTTTCACACTTCCCAGGCATATAAGAGACAGGCTGAGGCCTCTGTCCCCAGGGCTCCAGCCAGTTCAGGGGGTGTGAGGAGTGGCTTGCAGATGACAACACTGAACTTGCTTTTACAGGCAGACAGGTGCCTGAGCAATTAATAGAAAAACAAGTGAGACCCAGCTGTATTTGTACTTGAACGTGGAGAGGCGGATGGTTGACAGAGGAGGGAGACAGGCAGGCAGGCGAGGGAAGCAGTGATCTCTGATGCTGGCTTTATTATGAGCATGAGCTGGCATGGGACAGGAGGTGGCAATGCCCACCTGGGGGTCACATTGAGCCTGGAGCTTCCTTCAGCCCAAGCGCTGGCAGTGACAATGACAAAGGTCTACAGCCCAGGGAAGACGGGAAGATGCCAAAGGCAGGGGCATGCCTGGCTTTCCAGCTGGCCCCAGGGCAGCGGGTGGCACAGCCAAGGCTGAGAAGACAAAGGCAGAACAGGGCTGGGTGGCTGGCAGCAGGGGCCAGGGTTTTGCATTCTCCTTGTCCATCTCACTTTTCTCCAGGGCTCCTCTGTGATCTCCTGTAGCACACACTCCATGCCAGGCCCTTGGCAATCATTTTAAACACACAATGAGTGATAGACCACCTGGCTGATGTGTGGATGACCCTAAAATTCTTCCCTACCCAGTCCAGGAGCCAGAACCCCTCCCCGTTGCTCCCAAGCCTGCCCTGCCCTCCCCTTCCCCCAGGCTCTCCTAGCGTACCTGCTGTTACAGCTCATCGTCAGTGATTTGCCTTGAGTAGGGAAGGAAAAGCCACAGGTGAGGTGGTGGGTAGGTCTAGGGATCCCTGAGGCTGGGGACCCTTCCACAGCCACAGAGACAAAATCTTCAGCCCGCCCTTCCTTCCCTGGACCCAACCCCTTCATCAGTCACTCCAGGCAGCGCTCACCTGCGCTTCTTGTTGCCCCCACAGTGAAATCTTTTGCCTTGAAAAGAAAAAAGGTGATTTGTTTCCATGAACTCATTTTCCAAAGAGACCTTGGAAGACTCCAAATTCTTCTAGTCACTCCTGCTTCCCTCCTGCCAGCACCACCGCAGGGCCAGCCACATTTGACTGTCACATTTTATTTTATTTTATTTTATTTTATTTTATTTTATTTTATTTTTTGAGACAGGGTCATACTCTGTCACCCAGGCTGGAGTGCAGTGGTGCAATCATAGCTCACTGCAGCCTCAAGCTCCTGGGCTCAAGCAATTCTCCTGCCTCAGCCTCCTAAGTAACTGGGACTATAGGCACACACTGTCATGCTCAGCTGATTTTAAAAAATGTTTTTGGCTCCTGCCTGTAAACCCAGCACTTTGGGAGGCCAAGGTGGGTGGATCGCCTGAGGTCAGGAGTTCGAAACCAGCCTGGACAACATGGTGAAACCCCACCTCTACTAGAAAAAATACAAAAATTAGCTGGGCATGGTGGCAGGCGCCTGTAATCCCAGCTACGCCAGAGCCTGAGGCAAGAGAATCACCTGAACCCTGGAGGCAGATGTTGCGGTGAGCTGAGATAGTGCCATTGCACTCCAGCCTGGGTGACAGAGAGAGACTCTGTCTCAAAAAAAACCAAAACATTTTGTATAGATGGGATCTCACCGTATTGATCAGGCTGGTCTTAAACTACTGGTCTCAAGAGATCCTCCTGCCTTGGCCTCCTAATATGCCTGCATTACAGGCATGAGCCACCACGCCCAGCCATCTCTCTCTTTATATAAGGCTGGACCACAGGCTTTCAATGGCCTAAGTCAGTCAGTCAGCAAACATTTATTGGAGCAGATCCATGGTGGGCTATTGGCATATCAAGAGCAGGAGCAGAGACTGGGCCATCATGGTGTCCCCATCACAGCACTGGGCACAGAGTAGCTGCCCGATGAACAGCTCTCTGGAGAAGGATGGCAGCAAGTCCAAAACAGAGCCCCTTGCTCCGGCCACCTGCCTCCTGTGCCTGTGTGCTCAGCCGCCAACCGGCTCTGCCTTCCGGGAGTTGCCACGGGCAACATGGGAAAATGGGGAGACTGCAGGACTGCGGCCCAAGCCTTAGAATTTCAGAGTCCACAGCTGTGCTTGCTGTAGCTTTTTTTCATGGGTTGTGTTTTCTTGTATTTTTCTTTGGGTTGAACCAAAACAAGTCAATGTGCAGATATTAAGCTCCTGCTGTGTGCCCCTCAGGAGCCTGGGGATATGTAAGGCTCCTTGTCTCTCCCAGAGCACTCCAAGTCTGCACTGAACTATTCTCTTTCTTTCTTTCTTTCTTTCTTTCTTTTTTTTTTTTTTTAGACTGGGCCTTGCTTTTTTCCCCTTTTTGTTTTTTTTTGTTACGATCTCGATCTCGGCTCACTGCAAACTCCACCTCCCTGGTTCAAGCAATTCCCTTGACTCAGACTCCTGAGTAGCTGGGATTACAGGCGTACAGTATGCCTGACTAATTTTTTTTTTTTTTTGAATTTTTAGTAGAGACGGGATTTCACTATGTTGGCCAAGCTGGTCTTGAACTCCTGACCTCAGGCAATCCGCCCACCTCAGCCTCCCAAAGTGCTGGGGTTACAGGCATGAGTCATTGCACTCGGCCTGCACGGGACCATCTTAAAGTACTGTCCTGACTGCTGTGTCTCTGGAGGCTAGCCCTGATCTTTGTGAGGCAGGTGGGATCATCCCTACTGAACGGATGAGTTTGGGACCCATGGTTAGCAGCGGCAGGTGCAGTCCCCCTTCTGGCCCTCGGGTTACCCTGCAGCTTCGCTCCTGCATCCGCAGCTCCTCCTGGGCCCACTGGAGGGTGCACTTGAGCAAGCAGGAACCTCACATTGTGCTTGAGAGCCTGGCATCCCACCCAGCATGGGTTCCCCCATCCTGCAGGGGCGGAGGTGGTGGGGAGGCTCACCCCTCCCTTGGGGACTCTGGAAAGCCAGCCTGCTCAGCAGCTTTAAGAAGAGATGTGCCCCAGCCAGCACCCCTTCCTTGGAGGCCACCCCACTTACTGAGGATGATGAGGAGCCCCACGATGAAGGCCAGCCCGGCGAAGATCAGGCCCCCTTTGCGGACAGTCTCATAGTCTCAGGAAAGAGAGGGCAAGAGGGGCGGCATGGGTGGTCTCTCCCAGCAGCGGCTTCTCTCCGAAGCCCACCCCCAGTAGCCCATGTTAACCAGGGGAGGTAAGGGGCACAGAGTGTGGACCCGGGGCTGGGAGAAGCCGCTGCTTGGTGGGAGGGGTCCTGAGTGCTCGGGAAGGGTGCACAGGGGCCCAGGCTTACCGTAGTAGAACGGGTCCACGTCCGCCTTGGGGCTGCCGCCTAGAAGAGAGGCAGAGGTGGGAGGAGAGGAGTCACTGACGGGCCAGCACAGGAGCAGTTGGAATTCCCCGTCCTTCCCTTCCCAGAGGACCCCTCAGGGTCCAAGTGGTGAGGGGAGGCTGGGCTCGGGGGTGTTGCTTAAACCTTTGCCTGCGGGCTTCTGCCCTAGGCGGCTTCAGACACAGTCAACTGGGAAGAAAACGCCGAGTTCCGAGGGGGATCCGTGCTGTCTGGGGGGCCTCTGACACTTGAGAGGGCTGGCTCTCTCCTGCTCCTTGCTTCCCACCATGGTAGAAAAGGCCAGGAGAGGCCTCTCCCATTAGACTCCCAGCAGCCTCTCTCCACAGAACCAATTGGCTATGAGGTGCTTAGGAGGTATTTGTGAAATGTATGAATAAATACAACAAAACCTTAAAGTTATCAGACAGAAGGTGGAAGCCAAGCCCACCATGGAGACTTATCCGAAGTCCCACTGAAAGCTGAGAAAGGCCTGCTCTCCTACGTTCCCATCCTCAGGGGAAGCAGATCTAGTTAAGAAACATTAATATATGGTGCTGCTCAGGCACGGGGCACAAGCTAACAAAACCCTAACTCCTCCAACCATGACGGCAACCTTATGAGGCGTCAGTGCCATTTCAGTGGAATCCCTGTGAGAATGGAAGCACAGAGAAGCTAAGTAATTCCCCCACAGTTACACAGCAAGTCAGGCGTAGAGCTGGGGTTTGAACCCGGGCAGCAGGGGGCTGAGAATGCTGGTGCGTAAGCTCTTAGCTCTGCCACCTCTCAATGGCAGGAAGGAAGGAGCCCATTTGAGGCAAGGTCCTGCCCCTGCCTCCAGTGGGCTCCCCTGGATTTGGAGTTGCTCAGCAGGTGGGTCTCACAGTGGTGCCCTGCAGCTGAAGACACTTGCCCCAGACAGCCAGCCTGTGGCCTGGCCAGGACGCTTCTGCCACCACTGAGGGCTGCCCCTCTTTCCTTCCCTGCTGGAGCCCCTTCTTGCACCAGGGAAGTAAAGCCCGAGGAGGAAGGAATGAGCAAGTCAGCCCCTCCCAGGCTGTGCCGAACTGTGCCCTGGGCAGTGATGAGCCTCGGGGCCTGGCAAGCCCCGCTGTCCCCAGTGGCCAGTCCCTCCGCCAGGAGGGAACAGGCAGGAGGAGTTGGTGCCCATCCTGGCAGGCCTGAGGTACTGGGTGTTCAGGGAGGCCATGAGGGACCCAGCTCCGGTACAGAAGGCCTTCAGGGCCATCTTCCCAGATTTGGTTCAGGCCTTGTTCAAAGTCATATGGGAATTTAAGTGTCAGGGCAACAGCCAGGGCTTCCTCTCACACCCCAGGAAACCCCCTCCTCCATAGCCACCTTGCCCTGAGCCACTTGCTGAGGCCCTCCCTGCCCAGTACCCTTCCCTTTCTGCATCTGCCTCAAAACCCACCTCTGTCAGCAGGCACCCCTCTTGGGTCCAGTCAGTTCCTGTCACAGGAAGCCTTTGGGGAGTGTGACTTGAACTTGGGGGCCGCTCATACCAAATCCAGCCAAGGAAGACTGACCAAAGGCGCCTGCTCCTTTCCCAGCCAGATGGACCCCGTCTCTCTCCTGCCTGAGTTCAGAGGGTTTAGCAAGATGCATTGAACTCAGCTGGGGGGTGTGTCAGGAGGCCGAGGGGGGACACTCAGCTCTCCAGCTTCTATCTGCTGAAGCTGACTTTCTTCGGTGTTAAAGCAGCTCCTCTTTTAAGTTGCAAATTTTCTTAGAGAGGAGCCTGACCAGAACGGGCCTGGGTACTCTGGAAGGCTGAGGTGGCAGGAGAGGGACGAGGGGGGTCCAGCTGTCTCCACCAAGGCAGGCTAAGCAGAGCCACCCAGCCTTGCACACACTGGGCACACACCAGCACACTCACCATCGCCCGTAGACAGTCTGGTCATTTCCCCAGAAAAATGGACTGCCTCCCCTCCCCTCTTCCTGCTGTCTCTGCTTTTCGGAGAGTGTCTGGTAGCCTCCGAGGGGTGGCCCGAGACGAGGTGGGGGCATTAAACATTAACAGTGCCAGGTAATATTTACCCTGGTTACAAGAAAAGCTGCAGCGTGGATGGAGGGGGCTCCTGCCGCAGGGTAAAGAGGTGCGTGGGGAGGCAGGGGAGGGAAGGAGCTGGCTTCCAAAGGAAATTTCCAAAGAGAAGGGCTGGGATGGGTGAGCAGTGGCGCCTTCTGCCAGCTGGAGAAGCCACAGCTGGGGTGGTGGAAACAGGGAAGTGGAAGTTGCACAATTTGTATAGTGTACACGGTACTTGGGAGCTTCCGGGGGCCAGTGTCAGGGGTCCCACAGTGGCCCCCAGCCCCAGCAGGGCCCACCGCACCAGCCATCATGGATGCCACCACTGCAGCTGGTGTTCCTTATGTGGCACTGGAGGCTTTCCTGCAGTGTCCCTAGGAGCCTGGCCCACTGCTCCCCCACCACAGCCCTGGAGCACCCCCAAACCCACCAGAAAAGCCCTTTGTCGGCCATCCTATTAACCCATCGATGTGCACCCCGCAGCTTACACCTCAATTGGAAGGGTCCCAGTCATCCCAGCTAATCCCTCCTTCTCTGCCGCCACCCCCCTCCCGGGCACTTCCTCCTACCACCATTTGGCCTGGCTCTCCGGCTGCTTCCTTGCCAGTTTACTGTGGCGCATGCAGGCTTTCTAAGGACGGGGCGAGGCTTTCATCACAGGCAGAACCCCCTGCTTTTATGGTTTACCAAGCGCTTTCCTCACTCTTCTCTCCTAAGCTTTATGTTTCCCATTTTACTGATGAGGCAGGTGTGTAAGGCACAGAGAGGTAGAGGCCTTGCCCAAGGTCACACAGCCAGTGTGGGGCAAGGGGAGGCTGACAGGCCTCCTGCTGCAGGAGGCAGGTGCTTTCCACACCTCGCAGGCAGCCTTCCCACTCCCCTGTGAGCTCCTTCTCCCCAAGATTCCTGTGCCGGGTAGTCGTGGGTGTTGTGGAATCCTGGTTGAGTTCTAGTCCACTGAATTGGTCTCCAGAAGAGGCTGAAGTCCAACGGCCGCCAAACAGCCAAGGTCAGTGGCCAGGGGCCACCAGGGGTGCTTGAGCCCTTCTGAAGGGAGTCAGTCTATCTATGAATCCTCCCAAAGCAGGGAGAGGGCTCGGCACTTGAGTTCACACCCTGAACCTCTCACTTGCTAATCGTATGGTCTCAGTCAATTACTTCACCTCTCTGTGCCTCAGTCTCTTCATCTGTAAAATGGGCACAGTACCCAGCTCCTAGGGTGGTTGTGAGGCGAAGTGAGATCATGCATGCCAAGAGCACAGCCTGGGGCCTGGCACACAGTGAGTGGCGTCATTGTTACTGTTATATGTGTGCTGGCTGAAGAAATAACAGGCATTAGCCTTTGTTAGATGTTTGTTGTTGGACACGGAAAAGCCAGCTGCCGTCCAATGAAAATGAGCACGAATGAGTGAGATGGAGGGAATGTCAGAACCCTGCAGATGAGGCGCTTCAACACCCTTTCAGCTTCCCCTGCTTTCAGAGCCAAGAAATGTATATGTGTGCAAACATCACAGCAGAGCCAGCATTTGGTGAAGACGGACCACATGGCAGGCTCTTCGCCAGCACGGCACCACTTAATTCCTGATAGCGCCTTTTTACAGATAAAGAAACTGAGGCCGCTCATTTGCTGTCCGCAATAGCCTCTCGAGGTGGCCAGGGCAGTGCCGTGATCCCCACTGGGCACACAGAAAAAGCAAGGACAGGAAGGTGAAGGGACTTGCCTGAAACACACAGTCAATGGCAAACCAGAGGTGGAAAGCCCAGACCCTCCAAGATGTGCTGCCAAAGCTACTGCCGACTCCACACCAGACAAGGGTGCTCCTTTTATGATACAGGATCGCGTTATCTTACTGCACTGTCTATATTTGTAAGCCAACATGGAGCGTTTCAGGAATAATAAGAGATGTAAAAATAGGTGGGAAGTTAAATACATTCATCTCTTTCTCTCTCTCTCTCTCTCTCCATCTATCTATGTATCCGTTGACAACCCAGTCATTTCCACAGCCGAATGGATTGCCTCCCCTCCCCTCTTCCTGCTGTCTCTGCTTCTGGAAGTGTCTGGCCTCCTCAGCGGGGTGGCCGGGGACAAGTTGGGGGCATTAAACATTAACAGTGCCAGGTAATATTTACCCTGATCACAAGAAAAGCTGCAGTGTGGGTGGAGGGCTCCCTCTGCAGGGTGAGGAGGCAGCTACAGATCAGCAGATTAGATAGATGATAGATAGATAGATAGATAGATAGATAGATAGATAAATGATAGATAGATGATTGACAGATGATAGATGATAGATAGATGATAGATGATAGATAGATAAATGATAGATAGATGATAGATGATAGATATGGATGATAGATTAATCAATAGATAGGTGAATAGGAAGCAATAGGAAAAGCTAATTGATGGCTGCATTTTTAAACTCTGTACAAGGCACTGTTTCAAGCAGTTTACAGAAATCAATTTAGTCATCACAATGACTTTATAAGATAAGGAAGGTATTATAATCACCCCATTTCATAGAGGAAGAAACTGAGGCCCAGGTAAGTTAAATAACTTGCCAGAGGTCAGACAGCTAGAAAGTAGGGGAACCAAGATTTGCAGCCAGCAGTCTGGCTTCTGAGTTCCTGCACCTCTGAAGGACAGATGGACAGACAAGCAAATGAGGCTGCTGGACAAGCTGCCTTCCCAGCCCTCGCAGCTCCAGAGATGCTTGGCACACGTCACAGCAGGCCCACAACTCTGTGTGGAGATGCTGTTTGTTGGAAATTTCTACCTGTTCTCCTTTCTGCTTTTCCTGCACTTCTGGGGAGCTTGAAAGGGATGGGGTGCACACCTGTGTCAGAGCCTGAGCAGGGAGGAGGAATGGGGCTCAGAGGACTCACCCAGGTACCACCTGTCCATGGCAGGAGCTGCTGGCTGTGTCTGGGGTGCAGGAGAGCGGGGAGGTGCCGCTTGCCTGGGACCTGGACGGAAAGAGTGGCACTCCCTCCCCTCACACCTCAGGTGATCCCACAAACAGGAAGAGACGAGGGCAGGGAGGAGGGCTGGCAAGGGAGCCCTTACCTCGTGCCCGCCTGCTGGGGCGGGTTGGGGTGAGGGATCCACGTGAAAGCCAGGAGAGATTCTCTGACCTCCACCTGGCACGTGAGGAAGGGGAAGCTGTCAGATGCAGCAGAGCAAACCGCCGCCCCTGCCCCGGCCCTCTCCCTTGAGGGGCTCCATGCTGTAGCCAGCTCAGGGTGCCCGAAAAGGGTACAGGAGCCAGGAGAAATCAAGGACCCCACTCTTCCCCAGGTCCTTGGGCTGGTGGAGGCTGAGGGAGACCTTCAGGGGCATGTGTGGGTCCCCTGAGCTTCACTCAGCTGTACCTCTGTCCTCCAGCCCAGCTGCGCCTTTGCCTGGAGTCATCCTGCACCAGGCCCCGCTCCATAGCTAGGCGTCCCCTGAGACCGGGCGGCACAGCTGCAGCCTCTCAGAGAGGCAGGAATGGTTTCCAGGGTTCTGTCCTAGGACCTGAGGCACAGGTCCCAGCTTCCTGTGTTGTTCTGGTAGTTGGCAGAGAGATGGGGAGCAGCTGCGGGCTGGAGCCAGAGCCGTGATGGGGGTCACTCTTGTGCCTTTCCCTTTCCTCAGCTGGGACCTCCTCATTCAGCCCGCAGGTGTCAGGCCCGCCTGCCACACCTCAGAGGGCTCAGCCGGAGACACCAGCAGCCTAATGAGGCCTCTGGGGGCTGCTGGTTGGTACCAGAGGGGAACGGCCAGAAGACAACCGTGGAGCCAGGAGCCAGCCGGGAGCCACAGGAAGGCCCACACACCACACTGCCCAGTCAGCATCCCTGTTTCCTGGCCACCAAGGCCTGGCCCACAGCAAAGCCGCAGTGAACAGTCTCCGTGTGACTGACTTGGGGCCACAGGGTCTCCCTCAGTTTCCTGTGGCCACCCTGGCACTCTGACGCGGACACTGAGAAGCAGAGCTGGGAGGCGCTGGCTCTGGCCCCGGCCTCTGACCCTGGGCTCTGGTTACTCTGACTCCCACCTCTCTGTCCCTCCTTTGCAACACTCCCTGTCCGGAGGGGAGGACTCATGACACCCCAGGGAGCCCCCTTAGGACTGAAGCACTGTGGACATGGAGACCAAGAGGCCTGGAGAGGTGCTATTTGTTATCAGGATGGGCTGAGATCTGCACTGAGGCCGCTGACCACAGCCCTGACTCCAGGCTCCCTGCACCTTTCCTTCCGGACCACCCCGAAGGCAGGGCCAGACCTGCCCACAGGTGGGCAAGAGCTCAGCTGTCGGGCTTGTCCCATGCTCCCACGTGAAAACCTGCCACTCAGCCCAGAGCCGCCAGGTGGAAATTCCCCAAGCTGGGGATAGAGACGTTTACAAACCTCAGGCCTAGGTGAGATGTAGCAGTACTTGATCTAAACATAATCTAAATGGTCAGAAAAGTGGAAATCCCAGCTCCCCCCAACCTGGTATACACACTCCGTTCCCTTCCCACCCCCAATGCTGCTTTGAAGGAAGGCATCTCCACACCAGACATCCAGAGCCCTGTGTGACTGATGGCCCGACTACAAAGGTCACTGAGGCCATCCTATCCAAACCCCTCCCTTCACAAGTGGCTCCCTCTCCTGCTAAAATCCTCAGACAGAGGGTGCAGACGATATCCAATATCCTTTCTGTGTCCCAGAAAGAAGCCCCTCTTAATCTGGCTCCAGGCACTTCTGAACTGGTCCCCAACCTCCCCACCCTGCTCTCTGCTCCAGTCATGCTGGTCTTCTAGACGCCCCTCACCCTCTAAGACCTCCGCCCGGGCTGTTCCTGCTTGCTAAATGCTCTGCCTCTGCAGGGCTTCCAGCTCAGCTCACGCTGCCTGCAGGACTTTCTTGAAAGCCCCGATTCTGGGCATCCGGATAGAAAATGTTCACCCCACCGCCTCAGCCTGGCTTTTCCTCTGTGGCACTTATTCTGATCTAAAGTATGTATTTCCTTGATCTTGTTTGTCCCTCTCCCAAGTACAATTTGAGCACCAGGAGAGCCAGGGTTTCTGTTTGTTTGTTCATTCCCCAGTGTCTGAAACAGCTCATCGTGCGACACAGTTTTATTAAATGAATGAATCAGACCCGAAAAGGTGGAATCATTTCTCCCATGCTGCAGGCAGA